CAAGCAAAGCAATAACAACTCATGGAGGCAAGCCAGTGGTAGACCTCCCACCAGAAATGTTACATAGTGCATCTTTAATCTTTACTTGACAATAAGTCTTAAGACACCCACTAACATATTGTCTACCAAGTTTACTTACATGTTGATTGGTTGCCCTGTAAAACGTATATTTATACTAACATGTCAACACAACAAGTTTGAGTTTAGCGTAAGATTTAAACATTATAAATAGTTAATCTACTACACTACTATAGTTTAAAGCAGCGTGGCCAGTGCTCTTTTGAACAGACTAAAAAGCCTTGCGTTGCATATTTTTTGTCGTGGTCAGCTGCTGTGTCTTGAATGCTCCTTGTTACAGAACAGTATAGGTGCTTATCTTGTGGCTGTCTGAGTTTTAACTATGGACTAAATATATAACATAGGGTTTCCTTGCATCCTAGAAAACCCAGACATTTCGATGGTAGCTTTCTACACCAGATAATTGTCACCATTCTCCCAGTTTGGAGAAGTGGTAGGAGTTACAATTTTAGCCGTGATTTTTACTATGCCCATGTTCGGTCTAAGTTACATTGGATATGGCCTTCTATGGTGTGGTTAACTGTCTGAGGTCTGTTGATTTCTTATATAATTTCATATATATTTTTAACTTGTACTGTCGATAAAGGACGTTTATAGTGCATATCTACAATTTTATTGATACTTTGCAGCTGATGTCATCAAATCAAACTTAGTTCCCTGGGGGTGTGATGCTAATGTGGGCACTTCCCTGTCTGAAACTTTTTACTCAATTTAGACTACACAAGTCTCACATAAAATTACTGTCACAAACCAGCTAGTCAAAAGTTTTTCGTTTATTCAACTTTTGTTGAAAATCAATCTCCTAAACAGGGTCATGAATGCTCGTATTGATCACAGGTTCCTGAAAATGCATTGTGTCACTGCAGTAACTGCTAAACATTCCGTCTATAGATATGCAAGCAGAACACCCCCAGTGTGATGGCACTGTAAAATATCAGTTCTATATAGCATATTGAATTTGGACTTAATTTGCTGGAAGTTGTGGTAAAAGTATTAAACTGGTGTAAGTGTGTTTTTAAGATGATCCACTCAACGGAAACCATGTACTGTTTTTGTTCACATAAAAATAATATCATAGCTATAAATTAAAATTTGCAAATACAGTTACACATGTTTTAGCAAGTACCTTAATCTTAACTATCTGTAAGTAATGAATCTTTATAAAGCACATTAAAAGGTTTACAAAGTGCTGTACAAGCAGCAATGAACAATACAAAAAGAATAAAAATAGCATACAGAAAGCATACAAAAGCAGACAATGATCCAAACAAGTACAGTGTATTTTATGTTAACTTGTGCTTCTGTGCCCCTCCCCCCTTTTGTTCTAATCCCGCCCCTGAAACAAATTCCGCCCCCACAATTTCACATCTAGCCCAGAACCACAGGAAATAGACAGGTATATAAATACTGCTTTATGTAAGTCATTGACCATAACACAGTCTCCCACTCAGAGCTATGCAGACCTGCTGTTACAAAACAAACGCCAACCAGTGGTTTGCGTAAAACCTTGTAGTAAATACAACAAATTACCCAAACATTTAGTTCTTCTCTTCTCTAAACCATTTAATCAGTCAATGAAATTATTTAACTCCAAATGATGTTCAAGTACATTGCAGTTCAATTTGTTGTCATTTTAAATATTCTTAAAGTTGCATTGTATAACTTTTCTGGTGGCGGTCCGTCAAATGTTTTTCTCCATAGAGATGTTATTAATTTGTCTGGAATGTTTCACAGAATAGTATTAAACCTTTCTATCTTTATGGAGAACAAATTAGACCCAATCACTTTAGATCTGTGGAGAGGCAACCCCGCTCACAGTCAGAATACCTATTTTGTTTCTAGGTATTTTTAGCAGTAAAAACAACTGCAACTCAGTAAAATGTAAGGGAGAGCTGCTTAATGCCCTACTGTGGAATATTCCATGCAGAGCAATGACAATGAATGAAACAAGCAGGTAATGGACCCCCAACCAAAAAGCTACATAGAGCATCTTAAAGATTTTTTGTGGAACATTTCAGGCAAAGCAATAACATCATCACGGAGCCCCCCCACCCCCCCCTACCAGAAAAGCTACACAGTGCAGCTTTAATTATAATTTCCATCCTTATCTTTCTATCAAACCTCCCTGTGCTTGGCCTGCTTTGTATCAGATGTGGGGGCTGAAATGGGCCAAAGTTAATTTCCCTGCTGTGAAGAATGCGGCGTGTTTTGCTGTGTGGTTATTTTTAGCTCTCACGTTGGGGCCTGAGACGTCACCAGGTCCTGCTTAACCGTGTTGCAATGGGTTTGTGTGAGCTACGCAGAGCTATTTTTACAAAGTGCAATGAGGAAATACACGGCATAAATGTGCATTCTCAGCAGCTGCGTAGTGTTATCTGCCCAGCCTCCTCCTCTCCCAGGTGTTCTGTGGTCCTGGAGACGTTACTCTGTGGAAACATACACTGCAGCACTAGCAGATGCCACCTCTGCAAAGTACTCTGCTTTGTTCACTTGTACTTCTTCCACAATTAGGAGTTGGATTTAAAGGTGCAGTATGTAACTTTTCTGGTGGAGGGTGAAAAAGTCAAGTGGCGGACCTGATTTTGTTTTTCATGTGAATGTGTATGCTTTCCCTGAAATGTTTTGGTATTTATTTATTAAAGGGACAATGTATTAAAAGTCAAGATAATGCAAAAAAAAACCCCAAAAAAACATGTACTTGTAAATATGCAAGATTGTAGCCAAAGCTTCCATCCTTAGTCCCCATGTTTGACAGTTTGATATACACTACCAGTCAAAAGTTTGGATGCACTCTCTCTTTTTTTCTTTTCTACTTTCTACATTTTATATACATAGGGAAGACATCAACTATATGAAGCAAGACATATGGAATTATGTGAAGAAAAGAGTTAAATAGCTCTACTAAATACTTTTCAACAAAGGCAAGGGTGGTTACTTTGAGGTTTTGAACATAAAATATAAACAAGAGTTATTTAATGTTTTTCTTTGCTACATAATTCCATACTATATCTTACTTCATACAGTATATATTCAATGTTTTCTGTATACATATAAAATGTAGGGGAAAAAATTGAATGAGATCCAGACTTTTGACTGGTGGTGTAAATGTGTCTTTAATTAATTGTATAAGGTGTTTTATTGCCAAAAGATACTTATTTCTGTGGAGTCATATGCTTGTCTCCATGGAGATTGCTTATTTGTATGCTATTTTGTAGATCATTCCAGGCAAAACAAAACAAAAAAAACTTCACTGTGCCAGACCATTCACCTAAAAATTTACACTGTACACCTTTAAATACTGCATTTTTAATGAGTCATGCAAGGGATTGTAGATGTTGGTAATATATGTTCAAAGGGCTGTTGCACATCTTGCCATAATTGTGAATGTGATTACTACAGTACAAGTGCAGGAATAATACCTTTATATGTAATTAAAGGCAGTTCCCGTTTTTGCTTAGTTAATTTTAAGATTGTTTGTCTTGTTGTAGCAGCAGTACATTGTGTACTGATACACATTGTTGTAGTTGAAGTATTTTTTTTAGCATTATTACATTCACATTCACTTGACAATATAATTCATGACAAATTGAAAACATATATCCATAATCCTTCATCACTCACAATATTACCAAATTATAACATATAGTTATAAGTTATAATACTAATATAGTATTGAATGTTGTCACTGGTTGCAGCTTGTGATAAAATAAGTATCATCAGCGGTATTTATAGAATGTGATTGTACTACTAGTAACATGCAATTTAAATTTAGTTTTTCTCAACACATACAGTGGTTGACTTGCATCACATCACATCCTACCACATCCTAAATAACTTTTGAAGCCTGTACTTACATCTTTTCACATGTATGTCTTTCTTTCCTTTATGTTGCAATATACCATCATGTTAAGAAAAAAAAAAACACCAACAACAACAACCACAGAAGAAGGAAGGCCACAGATTCTTGCCTCTTGCTCTGTGCCTTGGCCTCCTTGCCCGCCTCCACACATTATGACTGGCGAACGTCACTTCCCCCGGTGCTATTTTTAAGCCTTTGTGTCTTTTTAGGAACAGCGTGGGTTTGCATTGCACCAGTGAGTCATTGAGTGAAGGGAAGGAGGGCGCGAGGAGGAAATGGGCAGAAAGCAGCACAGATGGAGAGAGAAATTACCCTGGATCTAATGGCATCTATATTATACCATTTATACAGCCGTTGACAAGCTAGACAAAAGATGTATGCTGGCAAGTTCATATGAAATGTAGTGTTGTGGTGAAGATCATACTGGAGTGGTTCTGAAACTTTTCACACTGAGTACCACCTAAGATAGTATTTGGCTTGTTTTTAGTCATTGTTTAAGGGCCAATATTAGGCTATTTTCTCATCTATGTTATTATGTTGTTTCTTCATCAAAACATACCTGGAGTTGTTTTGTTTCATTCACAAATGGTTATCTCACAAACCCTGCATATTAAGTTCTTCTCTCAAATGAAAAACACTCTGTTCCACTTTGTGATGGAGGAAGTGCTCCACTGTGTTTTTCAACTCCATACACCGTTGCTAGAATAATTTTGATAATTTCAACCCTGGAATTTCAAATCTCTATTGGACAAAACATAAAAGGTAGCTTTTAACTTGAAAACTGCTACTACATGACATCACAGGGTGGAACAGAGCATTTTGAGCTTTGGAGACAGACTTATGTATGTAGACAGACTAATAATAAAAGGTTACACAAACATGCTTTAAATTATGTAATGTTTTTAGAGCATATAAACAGCTTTGACAATTCTGTGGACATATCTTGTCAATGAACTCATCTTTGGGAGCCATAAGAATTTGTCATAACATTCTTGACAAGTTTGCTTGGGGTTTTGCTATGCTGTAATGCTATAATAGTTTTGTTGTTGTGTTTTTCTTGTAGATTTCCTGTTGAACAAGCTGAATGATTTCTGAATCTACCAAACGTGGATCTACTTGCACTTTTACTCATAAAAGGTTAGCATTTCACAAATATTTGTTGTAACACAATTTATCCCAGTGACTAAAATTGTCCTATTTTCTTCTTTTCTTAGATCATTTGACATTGGCTTTGCAACAACTGGAGAAACCATCATGTTTACAATACCAGAATCAGAGTGCTACAATGCTAATGTTGTCATTTGATGCTCCTGTGTTTTTGCTTACCTATATTTTGGTCCGGTGCAGCGATGGACCTGAGCTGAACTTGGCTTTAGCCCCAAAACTTTGAGCTATGCTTTTAATGAGCTTTGGGACTTTTTAACTATCTAAATCTCCCCAACTTCCCCCCTTTTCAAACCTAAGAAAGAGCATTAAGCGATGGAAGCTCAGGAGCCTGCTTCCGGTGGTGGGCAGAAATGCCAAAGCAAAGATCCAGTGATGGACAAGGCAACTTTGCAAAGGAAGTGGGCATCAGAACCTTCATCCACCAAACGAAGCACTTTTGCCGATCCAGAGGCTAAAAACAGGGAGAGCTTACCTTGTGGTGCTACTGGTGGATCTGTGCCACGACAAAAATACGGAATGATGGGAAATACTGGGAAAATGCTACCGGGACAGTCCCCAATGGGAGAATCGCAAGGACCATATGGGCAGGGGTTTCCAAGGGGATATGCCTACCAGATGGGCCAGCAATATCCACAACATCCACAAACAGAGCAGCGGTTCTTGTCTGGAGCCAAACCCCAGCCAGGACTCGAACCTCATGCTTGGCCCTTTGCCGGTCAGCTCCCTTCAGACGATTTATTTGGACATCCTGGGCATACACAACCACATGCATCTGGGGCAGGACGCTTTCCAAGGCAAAAATCACCAAGTTTACCCAGTTCTTTTGGGCAGTATTCCCAATCGGATTCCTTGGAAGAGAGTCATGGCAAGAAAGATCAAAAGCCAAAAAAGCCCGGGAAGTATATATGTCACTATTGTGGACGAGCTTGCGCCAAACCAAGCGTTTTGAAAAAGCATATCCGGTCACACACAGGAGAGCGACCCTACCCGTGCGTGCCGTGTGGATTCTCCTTTAAAACTAAAAGCAACCTTTACAAACATCGTAAGTCCCATGCTCACGCCATTAAAGCAGGTCTGGTGCCGTTTTCGGATTTGGCCGCATCTCGAGCCGGAGAGTTGGACCAGGCGTCTCCATCGGGGGAAGCAGAGGTGCACTCAGACGGAGAGCAGAGTACAGACACGGACGAGGAGGGGGTGGAAGGAGCCACGATGCTGATGGAGAAAGGGAGTCCTGTACCTCAGATATCCTTTGAGGCTGGAAAAAATGCAGGTAAACTTGAATAATATGGTTTTAAAGTATAAAAATATTAAATTTAATATGTGATTTACTAGATGTGATTTTACTTCACCTTCGCTTTCGAATTGATGTCAGTATAAATATATTTATTTTCCCATTTTATATATTTGATAATGGTGAATTTAATTAAATATTCTGTAGTACTTTCCATAACGCACATTTATTTCAATAAAAAAGAAATGTTCATTAAACTTAGACAGGCTTTATTTTCATTCAGATATATACACCGAGCAACATTTTGAAATTAATGCTTGTAATAAAACCCAAATGCTTGCTGTAAAAATTTGTTAACCCCAAATAGAAATTAGTGATTTTCCTTTATTTGGTCCCATAAATTCCAACTTGTATTTCCTGAGTTTCATTGAAAATACAGCATCACTAAATCATAATCCATCTTCTCCATAGGTGGTGTGGAACCCGCCTATGCAGACTCAGCTGAAGAGCTATCCATGGGAGCGATGAAAGTGCCTATCCTGATCGTTCCCAAACCTGGAGCTGTCCCTTCTCCAGGAATGGAGTACCCCCCATTTCAAGACAGCAAGACCTCACACCACATGCTGGGCTCTCAGGCCGGGGGCCGAGTGCACTCTCTGGATGACTCCCCCAACATCAAAAAATGTCTAGCCTTGAGAATAAAAGAGAAGAAAAGTCTAGATTCAGATCCAGCAACTCAGTCGCTTAACCTCTTGAGCCCATGTAAAGGCAGTACGGACTCAGGGTACTTTTCACGTTCTGAAAGTGCGGAACAGCAAATTAGCCCTCCAAATACAAATGTCAAAACTTACGAAGAGATTATGTTTGGTAGGACATGGTACTATCGTCCAAATTCTCGATCTAGACAGTCCATAACAGCGGTAATGACTGGTGCAGACCCCAACACTCTAGCTAACTTTAAACAAAAAGGTGCTATTATTGACATGGGGAAGTTAACTGAAGATTTATGTTTTAGAGGTGATGTGGGTGTATCCGGAGACCCAAAGCAATATCTTGCTGGACCTTGTCAGAGCAGCACCGGACTCCTCGAACCTCCTTCTGAATCAAGTCACCTCACTAGAAGCAACTCAATGCCAACTCCGTCACCACCAAACCTTAGCATACCTCCTGGAATCCGAGGCAGCCACTCTGTTGACGAAATGATGCCACCAGATGAGGTATTTTACCCTCCGCGGATACTCAGAAGGCAGAAAGCATTTGAGCATTCAGGCAATGAAGTGCATGTTGGAGAAACAATGGGTGGCAAAGTGGTTGGCTTGCAAGGTACGAAAGTTAGCATGTCAGATCTAGCGACAAGGAAACGAAGAAAGGTCATAAGTGTAGGCGATGAGGATGATAGTCCAGGGCATTGTGACAGCAGCTGTAGTGGTTCAGTTGAAATGACAGTAGATTATGAATTTAAAAGTAGTCTTGATGGCACCAGAAGTACGCCAACAGGAAAAGGGTCGTTCCATAGCCAGTCGGACAGCTTCGATACATGTCCCAGTGTGTGCTCAGAAGACATTGCACTTTTTAATGAGTTGGATGGCCGTAAAGCAGCCGGGAATGTTATATCTGTCATCCAACATACCAATTCTCTCAGCAGGCCAAACTCTTTTGAGAAATCTGAATCTTTTGACCAGCAAACATATCAGGATAGGCCTCTAGTTAGCCAGTACTCTGAACAGTCGGACAGTGAAATTTATGAAGATGCTTTGAGTCCAGATTCTGCGTTGTTTAGGACAGAAAGTATGGAGCAACAGGTGCAAAGTGATAGTGACTTTGCGTCTCATTCGTCACCATCTGCTGCGCCCTCTCCTGGACAACCTTATCATATACCACACAAACTAGTGCGCCAACCTAACATCCAGGTTCCAGAAATCAGGGTGACAGAAGAGCCGGACAAGCCAGAGAAAGACTTAGAAATTGCTGCGTTTAAGGAACCAGAAAAGACACAAGAAGAGTTTCAGTTGCCACAGAGGAGTGATACATTGTCTCAAATGCCATCTGAGAAACTCCCACCCAAAAAGAAAAGGTTGAGATTGGCAGATATGGAGCACTCATCGGGGGAGTCAAGTTTCGAATCGACCTGCACCAGCCTGTCCAGGAGTCCAAGCCAAGAGAGCAACCTGTCCCACTCCTCATCATTCTCGATGTCATTTGACAAAGAAGAAGCAATGAAGTCGATGTCACCAACCAAACAGGTATTTTTACAAGATTGCCCACATGCAACAACTCTGTGTTACAAACACATTAGTATTTAATAGTTACAGTCCTGATTTCTACCGGCGTTATTTCCTACTTCCAATAAAACCAATTTATAATTACTTGCATGCAGCACACAGCAGTCTCAGGTTCAACCTTAGAGCTGCTCTTATCACATATCTGTATCTGTGAACAATGCTGATTTTACTTAAATACGTGAAAAAAATGAGTACAGCCTTTTAAGTTTGTATTTTCCTTCTACTTTCTACTTAACCAGGATGACTCAATGGCCAGTGGACCTAAGCAGTCTGAGTTCTTGACAGTACCAGGCAGTGGTCATTCGAGCCACCATCAGCAGAGAGAGATGAGGAGGTCTTCTTCAGAGCAGGCCCCATGCACTTTACCATCAGAGTTACCTGAAATGAGAAGCAAGTCTTTCGACTACGGAAATCTATCCCCTTCACGACAGGGAGAGGTATACTCTAGTGCCTCTGCCATGAAGGAGAGAAGAAGAGGATTTCTGGTTCGACAGGTATTTTGAATAAATGTATAAAGTAAAAGTTGTTACTACCTCTACAATTTCTGACTATGGAATATTTTAAATGCAAGAGAATGGTAATGGGAAATAAGTCATTGACAAAAATCTGTCTCTAGCTAAAGAACTTGAATGTTCCAAGTACTGGACCTTGTGGGACTCCAGAAAAAAAAAAAAAAAAAAATCTGAAATTCAACTTAATGTTTGCATTAAATCAAATGAGACTTTCAAATTTCATACAAAAGATGTTTGACTGAGAAGGAACTGAGAAGGACTTACTTATAATGTTTTGTAAATGCTTTGCTTGTGCATTGACAGGCTTCACTGAGTGTTTATCCAGAAGCAGTAGCTCAGGAGTCTTCAAGTGAGATGACTATTAAACAGGAAGAACATGGGTCTTGGTCTGCTGCCCCTTGTGGCGATGTTATGAGGAGCAAGAGAGGTGGCAGTGGTAAGCTCTATGTCAATTCAGTTTCCAATTATTCAAATGTGTTGTTTTTAATTTATCTTATCTTATTTTTCTTGCACAAAGGTGTGGGCTCTCATCCTCACCAGCAGCATACCCAGTACATGCTCCAACAGAGCATCAGTGAAGACAGTCTGCAAGATGAACCTCTTCATGTTAGGTAATGCATAGTAAAAAGTTAATTTAAATAAAAAAAAATTTATAAAATTGAAAATGATTTGTTTTACTGAGACAAACAGGAATCTAGTACAACTAAGCACTTGTACTTTTAGATGTTGAATTCCTGTCATACATCAATCTAAACTGCAATGCTGGTTCTATGTACAATCATTGCTTTACAGTGAATGAGTTCTTCTCTCTTATTCCTAGGCCCCAGCACTACCGTCTGCAGACCCAGGGATCTTCATCAGAAGGAGAACATCAAGAGGTCATGAACAAGGAAATCATGCAACAATATCCAAGTGGCCCGCCGTTTATACCCTTTGCACAACAGGGCGTATACTGGAGCCAAGATGGTGGACAGATCCCCAGACATCAACTGGCCATTCAACAACTTCAAAAGCTGCACATCCGCTCTCCTGGACATCCCACCCACAAACATTCAATCCACGATCAGCCAACTCCAGATGCAAAAGTGGAAACTTCCCAAATGTATTCTGGGAGTTTTTCATCTCGTAGTTCTCCTCTATCCCAGTCTCACTATGTTACTAAGGCTAGCCAATCCAACCCCACCACCAATTCAATACTTTTGCAACAGATCCAACCAGTATTTGCCACTCAAAATGCAAACCCACAAGCCTCTCTACCTGGTATGCTAGTTCCTGTTCGCATACACACCAATGTGCCATCTTTCGGTAGTGTTATGTACACCAGTGTTAGCCAGCTATTACCCTCACAAGACAGTGCACAGCTAATCAAGGTTACAGATAACATACCTCCACCTGCAGTAAGCAAGCCACCTTCAGGGGGAATCTCTGGCGGTATCAGCGGTACTGGATTCAACTTAGCGCACTTCCTTGGACAAACTGATCTGTCTGCATTAAGAAAGTCACCAAATCTTGCATGTCTTAACACAGGAATCCCACTTTCACTAACATCAGGGACAATTTCTACTACAGACGCATCTAGCTCAGCCGTTGGAGGGAAACGCATGCTATCACCGACCAGTTCTTTGGAGTTGTTCTTTCAAACTAAGCATCAAAAACGTGTCAAAGAAGAAAGAATGTATGGGCAAATTGTCAAAGAGATGAGTGCTGTAGAGTTGAGTGGTACTGAAAGCAAAGCCAAACAATACAACCAATCAAGTGAAGAAGTTGATGAATCAGAGAGAATGTCCCAGTCGCCTCCTTTAAGCGATGTGCCTCCCAAAATTTCCATTCCTGTTAGATCTTCTGCACCGCAACCACCAGATCTGCCTCGAGCTGAAAGTTTTACCCCTCCTTTGCAAATTGTTACTGTTCGGTCACCAAAAAACAGTGGGAGAGATTCACCGGAAGAACTTGATGTTGATGTTTCCAATCCTAGCCCACAATCAATGGTATCTAATGATGGAGAGGAGTGTGATAGCCCCAAGAAATCCAATGCTAAATCCCCTGTTAACATGCTAGTCCAGCTTTCTAATAACCAAAATATTGGACAATCTGGACAGACTTTGCAAGTGACAGATACAGCAGATGCTCAGTTTTTCCAGTTCCCAAGCTTAAGAACTCTTAGCAAAGTTAGCTGGTGCTTTTTGAACTACACCAAACCAAACGCAAATCCTGTTAATGAACATAACTCAGTCTATAGTTCCTGGTGCGTTAGTTCCCATAATCCTAACCCTCTGAATCTTAGCACGAAAGCAGCACTGGCTCTGCTCCGATCCAAACAAAAGAGATCCACAGACTGGATCTTCACCACCGCACCTCTGTCACCTCCAAGCTCTGGGAAGCTGGTCTCATCTATTGCTTGGAAGCTACGGTTTGATCAGGTGATTGCCCCAAAGAAAATCTGAAACTGATTATTGTATGTGTTATCCTAATTTGCTAGATAACAAATCTATGTTAATTAATTTATGTGCTCCCAGATTATTTGATTGGCTCACCACTGCAGAAGGGTAAACCCCAAATGAGTTTCGACTGTAATTTTTCTTTTTGTCAAACTCAATTCAACCAATTTTGACACATTGTCCTACCTGCGAAATGTTCACTTGCTGTTGCCATAATACGAAGTAATCTTTATGCTGATGAATATTAATCAACAATAAACCAAGACCATGCAATGAGCTACATTTTTTTTTTATAAACTGCTAGGATATAGATTTATACATGTAATATTCCCATTATTATTTTTTTCAACACATTTGTTTTGTTATCTGTTCATCCAGTTGAAGCCAGAGTTGATGCCTGTTGATGTGAGTAAATTTGGGAAGAAGATGAAGGGAGTGGTTTCTTGGGACCGGTCCAAAGAAGATCAGGGAGAGAAGGAGGTGTCCGTCAAACCGCCCACTGTAGAGCCCACCCGAATCAAGATCTTTGAAGGAGGGTAAGTCAGCAGAGAATTATACATGCTCCAGTATACTTTTGTTATATATAGTGGGACATTATAAGATGGCATTTCCCATAGCCCTTATGTATTATGTATAAACGAGAATATGGTATAGCTAAAGAGGCACCATTTATATCATCTTCATATTCCTTCAGAATGATTAATTCTCTGGAAAGGTACATCACTTGCTTGTCTCCATGGAGTTGTTATTTCCTTACCTAGAAAGTTTAATGCCATACTGTGAAAGATTCTGGCTAAAGCAATAATATCCTCATAGAAACAGGAGTATTGGCATAGTGCACTTTAAAAAATTGTTCACACTGAAACTAAAGCGTGTTCCAGTTCCAAGTAATGTTGAGTGACTTTACATGTCCAACAGTACAAAGCAGGTCAGGTATAAATTCCAGTGTTTTCCTGTGAAAAGATTATTGAAGGGCACATGATAGCTGTTTTTGGACAAGATGCAGGGTTTTCATCGTCTAGTCTGGAAAATCTCTCCCTGGACCATTTATAATTGGACAACATTGAACCAAAGTCAAAGATTTAAGAGAGAAATCTGTTTTCTATAGTTAGTTATGATATTTAATACTCAGACATGGACAGTTAATTTGTATTTTGAAATAATAACACATTTTAACTTGACATGTAAAATTCATAACAAAAAGTCTGTTTTTTATTCAACCAACGTAGACAATGTTTTCATGTGGACAAAAGCAGACGCGCCCACAGAAATTCCAGGGCCCGGGGCAAGACGCCTCACATGGGCCGCCGTCTAATATAAATTTATAGGCAGAGGGTCCAATTCTGGGCCCCCAAAACCCTGGAGCCTGGGACAACTGACCCCTTTGTCTTCTACTGTCTACTGCCTTGAGAAAAAATATTGATGCCAGATACCAGTATAATCACATAACAATATTAAAGAAACTACCTTTATATTGTTTAAAAGAGTGTTTTCTAGTCATAATTCAGGGATTTTCTTTAGTATGAAAATCCAGTGGACACAGACAGAAACAGCTTATAAAACCATCTTGTGAAACACAGTAAATCCAATATGAGGTGGTTAAAAGTACAACCCTGTTTAGTGGTTAGATTTCTTGAGTATCAAAATGTTTTATAGCAGAAGTCCAAGAATAGTGAATAAAGCAGACAGAGGAACATGCAAAGTCCAGCCGCACATCCCAAAGCAGTTATTAGAGGCAGCAGACAGTGAAGTCATGTTCCCAGAGGACACAGTGTGAACTCTGGATCTGAGGACCTGAAGGGAAATCTATCAGACATATTTACGCACGTGATTTTTATAAAGGTGAATGCTATATAGGACTAGACATAACACTGGGGGTTGTAGAGCAGACTTAAACATTACTCAAGTGGCAAGTGTAATTCAGTGGTTGGTTACAAGGGAGTTAGGTTTATTGGTTCACATAAAAAAACAACAGAAAGTGTATGGTTCAATCGTGTTAATTTAAAGTACTATATATTTTTTTTAATGGGGAACCAGTGAGTGAAATAGAAAAATAGTAGTAGTACACTACCAGTCAGATCATTCATTCAGTGTTTTTTTCCTATATGTTTCTATATATATTATTGTTCTGTATATAGATATAATATATATTGTTTCTATATTTTATAGAAGACATCAAATAAGATATGAGAAATTATATCATAAAGAAAAAAAATTTAATAACTACCAAATATTTTTCATCTAAGCAAAAGGTGGCTACTTTGATAATTTGAGTGTGTCAGGCATTTTTACTAGCAGTGAATATTTATTTATTTACATTCTATTCAGTTCTATTCTGGTATGTAACTTTTCTATAAGTTTTTCCCTGAAATCTTTCGCTGTATTGTATTAAACTTATTTATCAATTGTAAATCATTTATTCAAGTACTGATGTAATTGTTACTTAAATACCTTTAAAAACAACATACTGCATTCCTGTTGTCTCTCCACATCAGGTGCTTGTCTCAACTACTTACTATGGAACATTATCACTGACCCTCCATCATAGAACTCGTATATAGTTACTTTACACAATATGGACAGAGTTTTTATTTGAATGCTTCTATATTAAAAATATTTTTCTCCAAATTCTCTACACTGCTTAGTGTAATTTAAGTCTATTTTACGTTCTCACCTTGCATTGTGAAAAAATACAATAAAATGCTAAAATAATCATAATTCATTTTCAGACCTGGCCACAGCTGTGCAAACATCTGGAGTTGGAGGTGTTTCCCACTTCTGCGGAGGAGCAGACTGTAGTTTAGTTTTCATTCAGATCAATTTGAAAAAATCTGATACTTGACCTCATAGCAGCAGACAGAACAGGAAATGGCACCAGCCCACCGTTTTGAAAGTTTTACCAAATGAATGAATGTCTGAACGCATTCGTACTTTGTGGTTAGAGAGATTTGAAATTTAACAGCAGTGGTGGTCCAAACACAGGCCAAGCATATTTCATCATCGGACATTAATGTTTTATAAAGATATGAAGCAGAATTTATGTGTGCCGTTCTTCTAGCCGTGGGTGGATGAAATGTTGGAAGATATTAAGTTATCTGTCACTAAGGAATGCTCATATGTAAAAAAGCAAGTCCTGGTTCAAATTTAATGCAAAACTTTCTGATGAAAATATGATCTTTGTTTAACTACCACCAATCATCACGGCAGTAACCAGACAATGTGGATGAAGTATGTTGCTCAAGGAAACAAGAATAGGGTCCATTGCCAGTAGCTCAACTATTCTGGTCAATGAGCAAACATGTCTATAAATGGCAAATTATATAACCACCATACTACTCAATATCAAAGTTGATATCAAAAATATAAAAAAATTTTTTGGAATGGACAACGCAGTGTAATTTTCAACTCAATTTAAGAGTCATTTATACTTTACCACGTTACCATATGCTTTTAACATAGTTCTGATATTGATCAAGACTCAAAATCTATTCAGGAATGGCACAATTTTGTGTTATTTCTGTGATTTTCTTCCCTATTTACACTTGCTCAAATTAAGTTTTAATACTTGTTTAACTATCGATTAGTATCTGGGTATCTTTTTTTTTTTTTTTTTTTTTAAACAACCACAAGTACAGTAATGTGTATTGTGCCTTATGAGTGAGACCATAGCTGCTAATATGCAAGAGATGAGGTGCTGTGCTAGTGGAGGGTTCACCACCTGCTTGTCTCTATGGAAATGTTACTGTTTTGTCTAGAATGTTCCACAGTATAAATTAAACCTATCTATCACAAGGGAGCAATAGAAACACTCACAATGAATAAATCCTAGATACATATATTTAATGTCATACCATTGAACATTCAAGGGTAAGCAATAACATCTCCATGGAGACAAGCAGGTAGCGGACCCTTCACCTGAAGAGTTGCTCAGTGCACTTTTAAAGAACAGTACAGCGCGTCCTTGTGTTTTTGATTGAAATAAAATCATATTGACCCTCATGTATTTGTTTTTGTTGCAGGTACAAATCCAATGAGGACTATGTGTACGTTCGCGGGCGCGGTCGGGGGAAGTACATCTGTGAGGAGTGTGGGATCAGATGTAAAAAGCCCAGTATGTTAAAGAAACACATTCGCACTCACACGGATGTCCGGCCCTATGTCTGCAAGTACTGCAACTTCGCCTTCAAGACTAAAGGTAGGATACAAGTTTAATGTATCAGACTTTGATCTGAGAAAAAACATCTATTAAAATATAAATAATTTTAAAGAGAAAAAAACAACATATCAGACTGTGCCACTGTGTCTGATCAGGCTAATTTTACACCACTTTTCAAACAAACTTAAAAGAGGAAGCTCTGAGCTAAATAAATCAGTTTTGTTTGGTTGATTATGACAGAAATGGAACAAAGACGCAAAGATAGTCAAAATATATCCATGCTTTGTGAAACTGAAAAGAGGAATAAGGCTATGTGCAGTTTTTTCTAAACTAATTTGCAAAATATGTCAATGATTAAAATAGTATTAACCATTTGTTTTGTTTTCAAAGTAGTGATTTAAATTTATGTTGATTTTGTTTTTTTTTTTTTGTAGTGTGGAGAGAGATGTGGAATGTGGGAGTTTTTTTTTTGTTGGTTTCTTGGTTTTATTGTTTTGGGGGGTTTTTTTTTTGTTATGGAAAATATAAAAAATTGGGTGGACAAAAGTATTGATTTAAACAAGACCAGTTATGACAATACACACTGATCAACATTGTATTTTTGAATTAAGATCATATAAAAGAATTGTCTGTATGCCATAGATGATAATTTTAGGCTAGAAAAAGGAAAATATTTTGATACATCTAAAACTACATGACTAAAGACAAAGGCTAAATTAAAATTACCATTGTATCCCTGGGAAAGACACCTTACCCTAAATGTCCCCTGTAGTCAAATTAATAATGCTGGTTGTTACAGGAAGGGCATCTGACGTCTGCTAAATGAAAATGTGACTGGTTCGCCAATCGCCATGGTAACCTCAAGGACAAAAGGCCGCAGTCAAACGTGATCAATTCCTCATTCAAATGTGACGTCTGTAAATTGCCTTGTTGTGATTTGCCCTGGTGACAAAGCATGACATCACACACTTAACAGCTTCAGAATCATTATAAAATCATTATAGTGAGACACGCTACTGAGTAATTACACCATATTTTCTCTTAATTAAAAACAACAGTGGAATCAGTGCCTTTTTCAAAGCTGTGTCAACACCACTGCTTCTCGTAACTGAAAAAAACAAACCTATTTTTATCATATTTTCTGCTTTTTTTAAGTGTAATACAATTGAGTGCCCTATATTTTGCAACCATGTATTCAGATCTGCATTAACTAATGAATAAAACATCCAAGTCTCTGTGGTTGGAGTGTACCCCTCTTGTTACACAGCAGACTGACCCATAATTTTTGATATTTAAGGAAACCATCTTCTGTATTCATCCCTGTCCATTGCTAACTAAATCACATTAGTAGAGTTATATGTCATTTGAAAGAAGGTAATTTTGTGGTTTGAATCATTTCATCCACTACTTTGTTTTATATTTGTTCTGAAAGATAAATTCCTATCTTTAAATGTGTTAAACTGTGGTTGTTTTTGTAGGAAATCTGACGAAGCACATGAAGTCAAAGGCTCACATGAAGAAGTGTCTGGAGCTTGGAGTGTCTATGTCGTCGGTGGAGGACACAGAGGCAGATGAAGGAGGTGAGAGACAGAGTTAAACATAGTGAGAGTAATTGGAATTTGCTGATACTATCTAACCACATATGATCACATGTACATACTTTGTGCCAGTATTGCTAAACCTGGAGACTAAACAGGTTTGCATTTTATGTTAAATTACAAGTTAAGAGTAAAAAAGTATGCATCCACCACAAGTTCTTTAAAGGTGCACTATGCAATTTTACTTTTGGTTTTATCCATGGGGGATGTTATTATTTTGCCTGGAATGTTACACAGCATCAAAGTTTTCAGTCTTGTTTGGAGGTCTCACCTGTTTTTCTCTATGGATATGGATAAGTTAAAGATGCACTGCGTAACTTTTCTTAGGGAGTGTACGCTACATGCTCGTCTCCATGTAGATGTCCTTAACTGTTCAGCTTGGAATCTTTCAGAGAATGGCATTAAACTTAATCTATCGCCAAGGAGACGATAGATTAAGTTTAATGCCGAGAATTTATGTTCTTCAAGATATTTCTGAATGATAAAATCTGAATAATAAAATCACCTCTAATGAAACAAAAGGCTGAATTGACTTTTAATGCCGTACTATGGAACATACCAATCAAGGCAGTAACATCTCCCTAAAGGCAAAAAAACATGGCGTACCCTTTACCAGAAATATCATACAGTGGAACGTTCTCCATGGATAAAAGCAGGTTGTACAACCTTCACCAGAAAAGTGACACAGTGTACCCTGTATAAGTGTAAGAAGCTGTTGTGGAAGTTATTTGCATACTGTACAACACTGGTCTTTCAAAGTTATGTTTTTGAGAGATTTTAATCATGTATAAAAACACATTAAATAATTGAGATAAATATTGCCCGCTCAGACATTCAAGCATGTTTTACGAAAAGAATTTGCTGACTACTTTTGTTCCTACTTACAAATATCTTCAAATAGCTATTTCCTCCCCTTAAGCAAATACAAAGTGTTCTCTTCTGTAATTCAGTCTAAAAGACCTAAAATGCTGTTCTGGTTCACAAACAGGTGCCTCTGTAAAAGCTTCTGTTACACAACATTTACCATCAGCAGCCCTGTTCTAGCCTCTGTTTTAACTTTTACTCCTGAGCCCCGGGTGAGAGCTGGCTCCCAGTTTAATTGTACCCAAAACCTCAGAGAATGGTTTTGGAGGAGAAAGCCTGAGTAACACATGTAAATAAATGTGGTCAGATTAACGCCTTGAGGAGGAGATAAAAAAATAAAAAATATTCAAAAAAAACTTGTAGAGCTGATTTAGATCTGGGTTAGTTATATTTGGGCCCAGTTAAGTCATATACATAATTTTAGTTTAACTGTACCTCTTTCTGAATGCCCAATCTTGTTTTATCTTTGAGGCTAAACAGGACTGGGCCTGTTTAGTACTTGGATGGCAGATAGCTGAGAATACCACTTGCCACAGTGTGATGGTAGTGGCTCAAGTGCATACTGTTGGTGTGTCCTTGGCCAAGACACTTCACCCATCTCGTCCTCAGTATGTGTGCACTTTGGTGTATGAATGTGTGTGTGAATGGGTGAGTGGTTTCTTGATGTAAAGAGCTTTGAGTGCCTTGAAGGTGGAAACGTGCTATATAAATTACCATTTAATGCTTGGATTAGTTGTGATTCGTTCTATAATTGAGACCGGGTCTAGAACCTTATTTACACTGAGCTTTACTGAAATACATAATACTGAAGAAAATATAGGAAATGTAAATAGAACAGTGAAGTTTGACTACTTTATTGAGATTTGACAGAAAAAAAGTTTTCTCTCTAACTGTTTGTCCAAAGAACTCGTAAATGCACTTTTAGCTTTGTTCTTGACATGAACCAATCACAGACACTTTAACAGCTTTGTGTCTGAAACAAGCTTTCTGATTGGTCCACTGCCAACAGTAATGCAGCTACTGTAAATGCGTTTGGCTGCAGTCCTCTCAGTAGAAAGCCTAAAGTGAATTTAACAGCTTTGGTTCATTGTGTTGGTGTTTTATTGGTGTGAAATGGTGGGAATGTGGTTTCAAGGGTGTTTTAGGTTAACACTTACATAATTAAACTTTTTTTTTTTTTACTTTTTATGTATAAGTTGTACCTTATTGCTCCTGCCATTGCACTGTATTTTAGCAGCAGTTCCCAAACTGTGGTACTAGATTTGTTGGTGGTCCATAGAAGTCCTCTAACATCTAACACGATTTAAAGTTAAGAAGAGTAAATTTTTTAATATAGGACCTTTTAGATGAGTTTGGTGGTGTTTTGATTTGATTTTATTGACACTTTTACTCATGTTTTATGTTTATTTAAGGCTAAAATAATATATCTTGATATCATTGAGCTATAACATACACAAACTAATCCTCCTGCTAAATACTCTTGTCACACTATCGTCCCTCATGGCTCCAAACAGCTTGCCCTGGTGGTAATTAATGTCTAGTGATAACCAGAGGACAAGTTTCCCTATAGGAACAATATAATACACTTAAGACTTAACTGGGAATGGGCCATTAATCAAAATGTAATCGAATTGTTTTAAATTCCCAATAATAAGCTTGGGGCTTTTTAATTGAGAGGTCCATGGCCAATTCTCAGTTAGTAAAGCGTGTGGTTTGGAGCAGTGTTCAGACTGTGGAGGAATACATCTGACCTTTTTGTGTTAAATATCAGCAGAAATAAAATTAGAACAGAAAATAATGATGGATGAATATTTCGAAAACAAAAATTGTGATTAAATAATTTTCTGTCCATAATGCCCAGCTCTAATCTTAAAGTCCTAAATTACCCAAAATTGACTCTTGTCAGCTTTTAAGTCATGTTACAACATTGTTATCTAATCAAAAACATGCCTTGAGCTGTGTTTTGTTTCATTCACACATGTCATTATTGGTCTACCGCTCCAAAGCTCAAAATGCTCTGTTCCACCTTGTGATGTAATGAAGTAGTAGTTTTCAGGTTAACAGTTCCTTTTACCTTTTCTTCAACAGAGATTGGCAATTTCTGGACTCAAATTATCCAAATGATTCTAGTATATTTATATATGTATATTTTAAAAACACAGTGGAGTACTTCTTGTATTACCACATGACATAACAAAGAGCTTTCACAATGTGTGAATGAAACAAAACATAACTCAAGATATGTTTTTGATGAAGAAACATTATAACATAGATCAGAAAATAATGTAATATGGCCCGTTTAACTAAAACTTGCTTTGTATTTTTGCCTTTCAGATGCAGTGGAGGAGGGCCCGCCCTCAGAAAAACGGTCCTCTCTGGAGCCGCACCAGTTCTCAGACGCCGACGACTCTGACGGCGAGGAGCTGGATGAAGACGAAGAGGACGAAGAGGATGACTACGACGGAGACTCCACCCCCAAAACCTGCTCGCGCTCCACCAGCCCCCAACCGTACGGCCTGCCCGCTATGTCCATCACATCTGTGGCCCCTCACCTCTCCCCCCACCCCCCTCACCCTTCTGGCTCTCCGGACATCTTGGGACACTCCTCTAAACCCCCTCCTTCTCTGTTCGGATACTTCACCACTGTCCCAAGCATTCAGATCACTCCGCAAGCTCCTCATCCCGTTGATTCAAAGGAGCAGTTCCAGCGCGGGACGTCTGGGAATAGACTCCTTGTTCCGCCATCTTTAGATGAGGAGCTGTCCATGTCATCTTCAGATCTTTGCACCCCGTCTCGCCTCTCCTCTCCGGGATTGGACCACTCTGGATGCCCCTCCCCCATCTCTCCGTCCTCCTCCCCATCTGCGCGTCGCTACCTCTCCCCACACCGAGAGCTGTCCCCCAGGTCCGGGCACCTGTCTCCACGCAGGGATGTTTCGCCATTACGCCACATAGCAGGGACTTATAGGAGAGATTTGTCCCCCCGGAGAGGACACCTGTCTCTGCTGTCTCCACTGTCCAGGCCCACGTCACCAGGAGGAAGCAGAGATTTTAAGAGGGATCTGTCCCCTAGAGGGCGCCACCGGGGGATGATTAGACCACTGTCCCCGCGAAGAGGGCTACAACATCAGCACCTCCTGCACCAAAGGTAAGGCTCAGTTTGTTTACGTGCTTCAAATGAATACACATTTTGTATATGTGAGATAGTCAAGTCTTCTTTGTAGCAACTTTACACTTTTTTTTTAAGGAAAATAGCTTTTTAACAAAATGGAATTCCTGGGTTTTTCTGAGCTGTAGTTGCTTGTCTTTATAGGAAACATTAGTAGCCTCTCTTGCGTTTCTCTGTCTCTTGTAAAAAATTGCCCTGGTCTGGTCTATAACAGTTTGCACATTTTTCCACTTTAATCTTTTCTTCTAAATGTCACAACATGTAAGGGCAATGACAAAAAGAAAAGAAAGAAACAGGAAATACACTATGTAATATGTAACTTTTCTGTTATAAGCTCGTCACTCGCTTGTCTCCATAGACATGTTATTGCTTTGCCTGGAATGTTCCCATAATATGGCATTAAACTTATCTACAGTATGTTTCATTGATTCAATTACATATGTTTTTCTTGCCTTGAAAAACATGTTCTTGTTGTGCTTATTGTAGTCACCTGCTTGTCTCTGTGGATATAGATAAGTTTAATGTCATCCAAGCAATGCAATATCATCTCCATGGAGACAAGCAAGTTGCACACTCACCAGAAAAGTTACATAGTGCACCTTTAACTTACTTTAAAAACTTATAAGACAAATTTGCCTATTGAAATTTCTTTACAGCATACAATACTTCCATTTTGTATGTAATATAAAATAGTCTTAGTTGTTATTCAAACAGCTCATATATGCTTTAGGGTGAAAGTTCACACAGTTTTGTTGGTCTTGTGTTGCAGCCAGCAGAGTGGGTCTCGTAGCCTGAGGGCAGGTCTCCAGTCTGGGCTGTTGGGTCAGACACGAGCCAACGCTGACATGGAGACGGTAAGAGACAGGGTTTGGTGTATAAGTGCTTTAAAAGTAGTGCAAATAATTCACTTTGTTTGAACTTTTGATTTGATAAACTTAACACACCCACATATGTGTATTATTACATTACTTCATGTCTATGTTTAGAAGTAAGTACTGACTACTGGAACCATTTAAGATCCTTGGCTAGTAGTAGCTGAATGTGGCCTAGACATACTTTATATTGAATTATTGCAAATTAATGTAATAAACATGAGTTGGGTTTTGCATTCATGGAGCATGTTTAGCTGGCTATAATGCAATAATTGGTGCCTTTGTGAATAGCCAAAGTTTCCATAATAATTTAATTTTTCTCTGTCTCAGGATCAGTTGGGCTCATCCTCTCCAGATGGGAACAGGGGAAGTCCTCCTCATCAAGTTCTGTTTAGTCACCTCCCCCTGCACTCACAGCTACAGGTGACATATGCAGTACTAAATTTTTATCTGATCTGAACTAAAGCATATGTTTGGAACTTTCACAAACCATCAGTGAAATCAATTAAAAATAACAGCATGTTGATAATAAGAAGAGCTTCTTAGGTCTGGTCTTTTGTTTTGTACTATTGCAACTTTGAGTTTTTCAAATTAATTAAAAGTTAATATTAAGGGTGTAAAGATATCCAAGTCTCATGATATGATTCCATCAGAGTATGAACCTCAAGGTACAATATTTATTGCGGCATTGTGGGAAAGCTCACGAAATGGTGGGGAGGCTCATGATTAGGAATGTATCAATATTCAAATCTCTTGGTACGATATTTTCATGATATTTTGTGGAGGTAAACAAAACTGTTAATATGCTAAAATATACTTTTTTGTCTTAAAACACCTTGACAAGACTTAACCCAAAGAACTAAGATTTAAAAGTGCTCAGAAATTTCTTCTTGTAGTCTACACTGAAATGGAGCCAAGGATCATGGTCTATGTAGTTCCCTCTGTCTTTTTTTTAGCTATTGCTGCACCATAACTCTTAATTTAATCAAAGAGACTATTATGATGGTCCATGATATTATTGTGAGAACTTTAACGATATGATATCACGATATTTCATTTATTGTTACATCCCTAATTAATACTACTAGTAAACTGTATTTATTAAGCAACTTTCTGGGCATTCAAGATCATCTTACAGCAATAAACATGCATTAACATACAACATTAAAAACAAAACCATTAAATCATTTAGTTAAAATTGGAAAGTTGTGTGAAATCCTTACACATAAATAACAATGCATGTTGGAGACATTTTGAATTGAAAAAGAATCGCTCTAGATTCTTTATTATCCTGTGTCTCAAAGGGTGACACAGTGCTAAGGTGGTGAGTAGTCTTGCCTTTTAACCACAAAATTCTTAGTTTGATTTCTGGTGTAGAGTTTGCATGTTCTTCCTCTGTTATAGTTTCCCTCCACATGCATCCAATCTACCCCTGCAATCTCAGGACCACTAATTCCAGTTCAACACATTTAAAACAAAAGCAAAAAACCAACCAAATTCCCTCTTCTTCTTTTAGGTGCGCTCTCCTTTCCCAATGATCCCCATCGGCGGCATCCAGATGGTCCACTCCGTCCCAGTTTCGGCCACCTCTCCTCTGCCCCAACATGCACCCAACCCCTCCGCTACATCCCCCCGAATCATGAGCCTTCAGAAAAGCACGTCTGAGGACTCCAACCAGGGCGACTCCACCCCTCCACCTCCTCCTCATCTCCACGGAAACATCTCACCCTCTCCACAACCACCGCAAGACCCAGCGAGGCCCGGCGAATCGGAGGAGGGCATTCAAACATTCACTGATAACTTCTCGTCCCTCTGTATCGATTCGGAGAAAAACTTGGACGAAGCGAAATCACAAAATACGCCATTGCACTTTAGCCAGTCGCCAACGCCCAGCCCCTCCTCAGAAAGCACAACAGGAAGCAAAGAACCAGCTTCTTAACCTTAAAACGAAGGGAGTCAGTGCAAGTTTGAGAGACACTTTTTGCACATGCATTATCTTAATAGTCTCATATGTAAAAAGCATATTGTCTTGGGCTACAATTTTTAATTTAAAGACAATGAAACCGATCGACACCTGGACTAAAGGTTGGTCGGGAGGTACGAAAAATTCAAAAATACGTGCGTGCCTTTTTTCATTATTTTATTTTTTTTTGTCTTGCTTATTTCTTATAAGCCACAAACCAGGAAGGTAATTGTAAATATGATATACAGTGTATCAGCTTTGTATTCATGCAATCTCCCTCATGTCCTTATACCCCATCTTTCTTTTACGTCATGTGATTTTTGTTCTTTTTAGTCACCTTAAACAAGCGATGTGAAGTTACGGATTATTACGTACGGTTGCACTAAAACATATTTTTATAAGAGTGAAATTTAAAAATGGCTTTTTTGTGTACAGCAGCAATTCTAATACTATTTATTATTGTTACCATGTTTCATAAATTGTACATTTTTTTCTTAAATGTCGTGGATGCCTTTTCTATGTAAAGCATGGGTTTTGCTATGGCTTTAGTTAGAGCGAGGATATGTACACTGTAAAATGGCTTTATGTGTGAGACCAACACCTTCTCTATTATGTAGAACTGTGTGGTCAGTCTTTCTACCTGTGCTGAAGAAGTTATCGCCCCACAAACTAGTAGATACTTACATTTCTGCTAAAAGGTGTATCTAGGTAGGCTAATAGTAAGTATTGTATCTTGAGTTTTGACTTGACAATTCCGTTATCTACCAATGAAACAACACTTTTTGTACTTAAAGTAAGAAAGGTGCATTGAGGTTCACCATTGAGCTATGACTTTTTCTGGAATGTTTTACAGTATGGTATTAAACCTTTCTATCTACATGGAGACCAAACCAGACCAAGTTACTGGTCTGTGGCGAGGCAACCCTGCTCACATTTAGAATGCCTGTTTTTCTTAGTATTTTTGAGCGATAAAATCACCAGTAATTGCATAAATGTAAGTTAGAGATTTTTAATGTCATACTATGGAACACTCCAGGCAGAGCAATAGAAGCAACCGGGTGACAGATCCTCTACCAGAAAAGTTACACAATGCACCTTTAAGAAAAACAACCAATGTTTGCACTTAAGAAGAGAACAAATATACCTTATTCCATTGGTAGATCATTTCACTTGAAAGTCAAGTCTATATGTTCTTAATTCAAGTTATTTTAATTCGCCTAGATACTTAAAAAAAAGTACACCCAGCTTTTTCTGTTGCCATTTCAAAAAGGCACATGTATCCATACACCACTTAATTACAACTGCCGTAGATTCATATGGCAAAGTTACCTCTTATCTATAGCCTTCTCACTCAAAGATGAAGATTTTTTATTTGTTTTGAAAATTTTAATTTACCTACACAATTCCCAATTCACATTATGGTCCTTAAAACTATTGAAACTATATTGTACAAAAATGTACTAAACATTACCATAAGCCAGTAGGGGGCGCTGTCAGCATCAGTACAGAGCTACTGACCACATTTGTCTCTGCACATGAGAACATGTTGTTTTGGATCTATTTAAATGGGTCTATGTGGCTGACGTAGATGCTTATACACATAAAAGTATGTTACCCAGCATATAAATACAATATATAAATCTATCTATTCTCTATCTATGTGCACTTAACATTAGAGACATTCACATTGACGTAGTTTGGCTTGTACATTTCCGCTGCTCTTTCTGCCTGTTGTGGACTTTTTGACATTATTCTTCTGTGCGATGGATCTTTGTTTTTCGGAGTCTGCATTGAGCATTAAGTGAACGCACCGTGGCATTTAGCACACGTCACTCACCATTCAACAATAACAATAATAATCTAATGCAGAAACATTCCAGTCCATGTAAATTAACCATCAACTTTTCACATACAGTCCTTTGGTGAATAGCTATGAATCAGTTCCTATTTCAAAATGTCTCAAAAATGGAAAAGAGTGTGGGTGACCTTGTGTCCTTGTTAAACTTTTCTTCGTAATGTACACTCAAAATCCAAGAACGAAGAATAGCGTACTATGGATTAATTTGAATTGAAATGATTGGAAGTAAACCTTGTGCTACCTTTTTTTTAATTATTTTCATGATGATTTGTTAACCAAAGCTGTAACGGGTAAAATCAAATTAATTTTACTAGTTAAGTTTATTGTATACCAAATTCAAGGTTGCCAAAGAATGATATTTCTTTACTGAATGTAAAACTGTCAACATGTAAAAGAAAGAAACATCACTGATGGTTAATCACTCTTTAAACTGATGTCAAATGGTTGATACTGTCAGTGACTTTGAAATGCAGTCTGTTGCTCACATGGGATTATTCATGTTCTCAAACAAATCTTAGTAACCACGGTTACGCTGACTAATAATACCAGATGGTTATAAAACAATGGACAGGGCAGGATGTTTTTTTAGTTTCTCAACTCTTCAAGTGAACAAAGCCATGGTCCAAAAACACATTTAAAACTACAGCTACTTATTTAAATAAAGTAAACAAGGACAAAGAGGAAATGGATGCATTCAAATCTATTCACCAAACTCTGAAACCAAAAGCACCTTACTCTCTCCCGTTTCTCTCTCTCTCTCTCTCTCTCTCTCTCTCTCTCTCTCTCTCTCTCTCTCTCTCTCTCTCTCTCTCTCTCTCTCTCTCTCTCTCTCTCCCTCTCTTTCTCTGTTTCTATCTCTCTATCTCTCTCTCTTGTGCATTAAAGCTCCGTCTAACAGTCTGACTAATCCTTCTGTACATTCTCGCTTCTCTCTCCTCAGAATCCATTTTGTAGCTAAGCAATATTTCTGTGAACTCTGCTGGCAGCAGGGAGTGTTCTTGTTGCAAGGCAACATTAGTTAAACCCTTGAATCAGGAGTTAGTGGGAGTTTGTGGACACTTGGGTGCATTTCTCTGTATTCTCGGTGTGTATTCAAACCAATATATCCTCTACTACTTCTTATGACGATGTTTTTCTATTTCCTGTTATGTACTAAACTTATCATGACAACAATGATGTCTTTAAATCTCTCAGAAATATCAAAGCACAAGTCATTGTATAGAAATGACGAGCGTAAGAAAAAGGACAAAAAAAGATGGTGTGCGTTTAAGGGTAACTCTGTGACGGTGTCTGTATCATGTCTGAGTGAGGAGTCGCAGTACAAGTGGACAATGGATTGTTGTTTTCAAATAAATATGAATACAAATTTACCCCTGTGTCCTGGCTCTTTGAAAGTCTGTCCCATTTTAGGCCTGTCATATAAAAGCAATTTTCCAGCACAAATTTGGACCAACTATTCCTGGCTCTCAGCTTCCTGTTTAAAGATGCCATTTCGAGTACTTTTCACCTTTCAAAATATTTTGTTATGGCTTGTTAATTGCTATGGCAACAGTGTTCATTTTCCCTCACTGTGAAACCAGTAGATACCTAAAATCTCATCAAACTGTAGATTTATGGGTGTCATTAGTGGAAAAGAAGTTCGTTGGTGTGACAGTATTGTATTGTTAGTATTGGATTGCAGTACACTGGTGCAGAGGAATTACTGTGGGCCCCTCAAAAGGGAACAGCCCCAATAAAAATATATTATATTCAGGACTGCACTGTTCCTGAATGCATAAAAATATGAACTATTTGAACAAAAATATCTCCACCTGCTTTGAAACATGCTTCAACTTTCATATCATTTCAAATTCTTCATTCCAATCTCTTATTTATCTCAGGTCACTCGGGATGTCTTCACCATGTACCACTTTAACTTTATCATCTATCAAACTTCTTTTGACTGTCAAGCTGTGCTAATTTTACAGTGGCCCGTGTCAGAGGCGTGTCCCACATATGTCTAGCTGTCTTCATGTTAGCGTTTTTATTTTATTTATCTTGGTTTTGACTGAACCAGGCTGTGTCAGATTACATTTTCTCTGCGCCCCTGTCCACGTGTCAGTGGTGAGTCCTGGTTTTTGATAGTTTCTGATCAAATAGTTTATTTTGGTCTTGATAAGAGTGAGAGAAACCACTTTTATCTTATTTTAAGTTTGGAGGAGAGTCGATGTCCCCCGGGAAGTAGATCTGCTGGTATTTGTATCATTCTGAATCTGATTTATCTATAGAGCTTGCTTTGTCTGGTTGCCACTATCAATAATTCAACTTAAAGGAGCACTGCGGAACATTTAATATGGAGGATATGGCATCTGTTTGTCTTTTTTTTTTTTTTTTTTTTTTCTTTTTTTTTTTTTTTTATTATTAAAGACAGCAGAACATAACATTCAAAAATCTGTTTGTCTTTACTATGTAGGATGCTTGAAAGATGGTCATACTCCTATCTATCTCTATGGAAACAAGCTGGTGACGTTACCAAACCAAGGTCAGATCTGTGAAGAGGTAAACCTGCTTTCAGTAAGAATGCAGGTATTTTTGAACAATAAAAATACCTATAATTGAATAAATACTAGATAGTTAGCTATATAAATATAGCCATACTGTGGAATATTTCAGGCAAAACAATACTATCTCCACGAAACAAACAGGTAGTGTAGCCATCTCCAGAGTGGTTACCATTCATCTTTAAAAACTGTTTTGTAAAACACTTTGAGTACCTTGAAGGATGAAAAGTGCTCTATAAAATGAAAAGAATGTGAGTGAAATAGTATAAACTGATAACATAAAGAGGATTTTTATGACTATTTTGTGGCAATGTAGCTACCTCATGACAAGGGGATCCTGGATTGAAGTACTGTCTGTGCGTAGTGAATGAAATGAAGATTATCTTGTTTCAAATAGAGCCCTACTACGAGGCACTTATGTAGTGAGAGCTGTAGACAGTTCAAGCAAAGTTTTCTGAAGAAAATACTATTTCAGATCTGGAGCTGATGTAAACTGGCCACTTCTCAGCCTGTAGGTTGTAGGCAATTGGATGAATTCAATCTAAAAGTAAAAATGTCTGACTGGACCCTATATGGTCACTTCACTTCTGTTTTCTTTTGAACAGCTGGAGGAAGTGTTTGGGGAGAGGGAATTCTGCATGTGTCTGGTAAGTCCAAAATTCAAGCAGATGCAACTTCACAACAAGAAAGTGGTGGTTGGGGCACAATTCTGATTTATGACTTTTTATGACATTTACAGTAACTATTGTAGAAGTAACCATTGCCAGTAAGATGACACTTTCTGAAAATATGTTAATTACAAATGCTCCACTCAAAACATTTATTACAAAAAATTGATCTAATCTTTGAGTTAACAGCTTCATGTAGACTCTCCACAGACCAGAAAACATGCAGGCTTACCAAATAAAGGCTGATGGGTGACACCAAACATGAGAGGTTTCCCATAATGCACTGTGTGGAAGATTCAGTTGTGTGACTTCAGTGACTAAAATACTGCTTGTAAAAAGTCTTAACTGCTTGTGTAATTATAATTTGGTGAAGCATCATCTAGCCTAAAATAAATATCTTATTATGAAGATTAACCAGTTGTCGTTTTTATTATATTTCTGGAAGTGATTTTTTTTTTTTTTTTGTGTGTGATATTTTAAACAGAGACAAAAAAAGATTCAGCAAGTTTAGAGTTAGCAAGTTACACAAAGGGACCAATTCTTTTGCATATTTTATGGAAATGGACAGATTTGTGGAGTGATGAGATTGTACCTTGTTTTAGAATGCATGTAAAGAAATTGTATTTGACCCCAAGGGCATAGGTGACCACAGGTCGCCGTGATCCACAATCAAACTATTGCCCAGGTCATTTCGTACAAGAACCTGTGTTTTTATTGATAATAGGTGAACCTGGAGCACACATACAGAACACTTGTGCGGAAGACTACAACAACTCTGAAAACCCCATGGTGTGGATCAGAGGATCATAATGATCTTTTATCAGGCCGTGCTGAAAAGTCTTTTAAAGTGCAACATTATAGCCTGGTGTGGTCATCTGTCTGAATCTGCGTCTTAGAAACAGACTGCTGCTCCTCGTCCACACAGCATTTAAACTTCTGTGGGAAGAGAAGCATCCATGAGCTGATTCAGATCCTGACTGACTCTCTTCACGCTCTGTACTCAGAATATGAGTTATTACCTTCAGGGAGAAGGAGAACAGGCTTAAGACTTTATGCTTTTGTACTGTTTGTACTGTTCTGTACAGCACTTTTATTATTCTGATTATTATTATTATTATTATTATTATTATTATTATTATTATTATTATTATTATTATTAATAATAATATAATATAATAATAATAATAATAATAATAATAACTCCTTTGTGCCAGTGTCTATTAGGTTACTGAATAGGTAGTATTGTTGATGTGCATACTGTACTTTACTTTTGTTTTTAATGTAGTATTACTGTATTACTATAGACTATAATTTTATATATTGCACAGCATTGATGGCAGCACAGTTCAATAGCCCATGACAAATTTCCCCGTCATAGGTCAATAAAAATTAATCTTGAATTTTGAACATCACCATAATTTCTGAATCTACAGAATGTGTTGGCCTGACTTTGTAGAAGACAGTTAATTAATTATTAATTAATCATTGCATTTATAGCGCCTTTCAAGACACCCAAAGAGCTTCACAGTTCATTGTTTATTCACTCCACACTCAGTAGTGGTAAGCTACTACTGTAGCCACAGCTGCCCTGCGGCAGATTGACAGAAGCGAGGCTGCCAATCTCCACCATCTGCGCTGTTATATTGCTTTTGCTTTTCTCAAATTGTGGTGTATGTACCTCCAGTGGTACACAAGCTCCTGTAGGTGATACTTGGACAACTCTTCAGTTTGTGGGTTTGCTCATTTCATTTTGTCCACTTGTCCTTTGGATAATTTCTTCAGAACTACAGTGGAAATGATGTAGTCCACTTTTAGACCTGGTTTTAGCCCTAGATTATTCCAGTTCATGATTCAGCTCTGGTGGTAGTTGGAAATGCACATCTCTTCTGTGGTGGCACTTGGTGTTAATAGTTGTCAAAGTCAAAATTTACTTTTGTGAGTTTGTAGCCGTGTTAGAATGTTGTTACCTCAGCAAAAACATAGCTGGACCTGTGTTTTGTTTCATTCATACATGTTTGAATGATTCTTTATTATTATTCTGTCTACATCTCCAAAGCTCAAAATGCTCTGCTCCACCTTGTGATGTCATGCAGTGGTAGCTTCAAGTTAACAGCTACTTTTTACCTTTATTTGCGGAGAGATCGCCAATTCCAGGACTGAAATTATCCAAACGAGTCTAGTGAAAATATATGGAGTTCAAAAACTTAGTGGAACACTTCCTGTATTACCACATGACATCGTAAGGTGGAACAGAGTATTTTCTGTCTAAGAGAAGAACACAGCCTAAATATACAGGGTTTGTGTGTTAAACATGTGTGAATAAAAGAAAACACAACTGCAGGTATGGTTTTGATGAGGAGACAACATTATATTATATATCAGAAAATAGTATACAAGCCCTTTAACTTTCAAATCCTATCAAATCACATGGCACCCTGTGAGTATTCTGTTGGTCTGCTGTACACTTTTTTGAAGTTCAGGGAAACTAGAGCACTTGCACTTAAATATTGCTCTAAGTACTTAATCCTCAAATCTTACTTTTTATTTCTTCTAAAACCATTTCCCTGTGTGGGTAAATTACACCAGGCCCTAGAGCCATGTTCACTGAGTCCGTGCCATCGAGGCATCTGTTCACAGGAATAAACAGGATTCCATTTTTAGCTCCAGGAAAAATGAGGATGAAATAGTGAAAAGAAAAAAATCCCTTCTTTCTCTCATTTGATATGAGACATTTCAGAAAGAGGCGCCAACAGCAAGAGCCAGGCTAAAATTAAACGTCTTTTGTTGTACAGGGGACAGGAAGATGAACTAAATGAAACAAATATTCTGGGCTTTGATCAAATCCACAAAATGAAATATAGGCTGAGAGAAAAAGCCTATACCCTGCAATAAATGGGCTAACTCACTCATATAGTGCCTCCTTTAACATTTACCTTTCTTAGAATTTACCAGATTTTTTTCTCCAAATTATTTTAGTGAAGATGTATGGAGTTTAAAAACACAGTGGAACACTTTTAAGGCCACATCAGGTGGAAGAGAGAGTTTCTGTTTAAGAAATGAACTCAACCTAAATATGCAGGTGTTGTTTGTGCTAAACATGTGTGGGACAAAACCCAACTCCAGGGCAGTTTTGATGAGGATAAAACATTATAACATACATCA